GGGGGGGGGGGTATCATCTAATATCTTTTTAATAGTGATATAAGATAAGAATTATACATTTATATTAATTAGGTGCATAAGCTCTACCATATGCACCTAAATTAATACAATTGTATAATTATACACGTTTGTATAGTGGTCAGCACATTTTTTGAAAGTGTTGTTTCTTATTTGGCTACTTTTCAGGGATAATCTAGATTTAGATCTTTGGTATGTGAATCTGATTAATTAATACCATGTGACAAACTCATGTGGCAACTCCCATGAGGCTATCTGCTGTCACTCTCTTCTTCTGGTTGATGTTTACCTGCATGGACACTTTATATAATGAACCACTCTTCTGAGTGTGGGAAATATGCTTATAAATCCAGTGACATGTAACTTGCATGAAAAAATATCATCAATCCGTGTCATTGTGTGGATTTGAGCCTACATTTAACCTCAGGGCATGTGCCTTCTGCTTTTCATCCATCTACCAATACATGCATCTGTCTGTCTTTTTATTCAACATCTAAGCCCTGTTTGAACTAAAAATCCACTTATCCTATCCTGAGGCTAAGTCTCTTATTCACCTTTATCTAGGATACACAAATAGCCTTTTACTATATTTTATAAATATTAAAAATATTTATGAAATAAAGAAAAAATTTTATTTTCAAACTTAAAAAATCGTATTTTACTCTGTTTCGATAGCAAAAGTAAAATTAATGTGCACGAAAGACTTAGATTTTAAGTTTATAAAAATCATTAAAGGAGGAGTAGAAATTCACATTAATATCATTATATACTAAAATGACAGGAGAGTCACCATATTTATAACGTTATATAAACACGATTAAGTAGCTTAAATATCTATGACATGAAATGGTGTGCATTACATTGTAATATAAACCTGACACAGTTTTGACTCATTGTGCGCAATCCTCTCTATCTCGGTCATGCTTTCTAAAGTTTAGAGAATGTGTGGTGAGGTTCTTAAGATAAAGTCATGAATGAAACAGGCATTGAGATTCAGGCAAATTACTCCGTGTACATCAGAACTGCCACCGTGGCGACTCCCCGGCAGGTTCAGTCGCATAACCCGTTAGAGTGTCCTGTTTGCCACACGCAGCCCTTACCGGTGTCGTAACCGCAGCACTGAAATCCTCTGATGCTGCAGGTTGTAGAATCGCGAAGTTCTCCTTTTCCGGTGAATGACGCGTGTTCTCTCTGACTTCTCGGCCGCAGTTCATCATGCTGACCTACCTGTTCATGCTGGCCTGGCTGGGCGTGACGGCTTTCACCTCCCTGCCTGTGTACATGTACTTCAACCTGTGGACCATCTGCCGCAACAGCACGCTCGTGGAGGGGGCCAATCTCTGCCTGGACCTGCGTCAGTTCGGTAGGTGGCTGGCTGGCCGAGTAAGAGCACCTCACGGTGTTTTCCCTAAGTAACTGCCTCAGGAATACGCCCAAGCACGTTGGAGCCACCATCGCTTCTTCTGCCAAGGAGGTGAAGCTGGTAGAGCACCCATTCACTTGTAAGGCGTTCTTTATGCTTACGGGCGTTTGAGACGGATCGGGAGTTGACCTCACAGCATGAACATGTGATCGCCCGTCCTGACTCCTTGCCCTTTCCCAGGCTCAGTGGGACGTGTGCATCCTATGCTCTGTGTCCCAGGATCAGTTACACAACTTGTGAGGTCCAGTCCAAAGACCACCTAAGAAATAGGCACTTCATTGTCTCCTCACATAGAACAAAGATACTTAGCATTTAACAATAACAAAATCACAGAATGTTAAATAAATCCACAGTCCTCTCTGGTTATTTTTATTTAGGGCTGAAACCTCATGTAACAATAATAGTATCTCACGTGTACGTGGGCTTGTGATGTGTAGGCCTTACTCTAAATGGTTTATATATGTGTTGACTTGTTTAATGCTCACAAGAGTTCTGTGTTGGGGACACTATTGCTGCCTTCTTTATAAAAGACAGAACTGAGGCACAGGAGGGTAAGCGACTTGCTCACAGTTACACATCCAGTAAGTGCCCGGGCAGGATGCACCCCCGGCAGGTAGCTGCAGCGTCTGTGTTCTGAATTCCACGTCCGCCACCTCTCCTTTGGAAGCAGGTACTGAATTACGAATGTGGAAAGGTCGAGTCCATTCTCACCTGCCCCATTCAGAGTTCTGTTCCTTCATTTGTAAAACCGCGGCAGCGACAGATTTCATAAGAGACGTGCAAATCCACATGTTCAAATGGACTTTTTTTTTTTTTCTTTTCACAAAATAGCTATTAAAATCTCACCTGTTAACATCTGGTAACGCTGTAGATGGTTTCCTCCAATGAGGTTCCCTTGTGCGTCAGGAAAATGGGAATCCCTTCATGAGTCAGTATCTCCAGGCCCTGTGACTCTGTGGAAATGCTGTAGATAGACTGTAGGGGCCAGTACAACTGTTCGGTCGCCACCCCTGTCTGTCAGACCAAGTCCTCAGGTCCCTCTTTCTGATCCGAATGAAAAGCGGAGGATCTGCTCTGCGCATGAAGGTCTTGGCGAGAAGATGATAGGAGAATGTGGGCGGCTCTTCCACAGGGGTGGTTTCCACCATGGAACCACATCCCACATAAACACAGGAAAAGGACACCTCGGCTGGTGGTCACAGAACAGCTGCTTGGAAAACCACGGCTCTGACTCCAGTCCTTCCCCTCAATGTCTTCCGCTTATTCTGAAAAATTAAATTTGGAGAGATGTGACTAGTGTCTCAGAGAGAGTTGCCAGGTAAAATACAGGACATCCAGATAAGTGTGAATTTCAGATAAACAAGCAATATTTTTAATGCTGTATGTCCCAAATGTTGTATGGGACATACTTAGGTAAATGACTTTGCCTAGAGCTGCTCTTGAACCTTAGCTCTTTTTTACAACAGTTATCAGGACTGATTCCAATTTAGCTTTCCTCCTAGCAGGGGAGAGAAGGGACTTGCCAGATGCCATGCAACCTTTCTGTCATCGACGGAGGCTTTCCGTGTTCCCTACACACACAGTCTACTGTCTGGTAGCTTTCATTTGCCCTCCAGATAGTGGATCCTTCATAAGCACCTTGGATATACATCAACTGTCAAGTTAGCATCAAGGGGCATCAGGATAGAAAAGAACCACTCCCCAAAATTTGAAGTTTAATTACAATAGACATTTACTAATTCATCCAAAGGTAATTGAGAAGGTAAGAACACCCCATAAGGAGATTTGCAGCTGTCTCATGAGCATGTACATGGCACCTTTTCTCTGACAAACGGGGAGTCCCCGCGTCACGGCGCTGTGCCTGCTTCGTCTCCACTGCACCTCCTGGCCTTAGTCTCACCAGCGATGTGAGGAGCACACGTTTCTACTGGGTCTGTTGGGAAGCAGAGGCGTTAATTCCTACAGTTGAGGGGTTTTAGAATGGCTTATCATATTAGGGTTTACTGTATTTCAAAATGAGTCATGAAATCCTTTTACTTCCCATTTTAATTTTTAATACTTCTATAATAAGTCTTGCTGTTCTTCAGTTATGTGCACAGTGATTTAATGACATTGAATGTATTAGGTATTTATCCCAGTAAATTTGTTTCATAAAATATTAAAACTGGTCCCCATCATATGATCTAGATCCAGGATTTAAAACTGTGCTCCGTGAATACCTGGAAATTCGATGGAACTACCTCAGGGCTGACAGGGAGAAAGTGATCCAGGGTGGGCAGCGCTTCTCTTGGCCTTTCGGCATGCCCGCCTCTGGCCCAGCAGGTCCGCCCACGAGCAGGAGCAGCTTGCTTTTATCCGATTTCCAGAAAGCCCTTCGCAGTAGGGTTTCATTTCACTTACTTAGTCACACTTTTCCCTACAAATATTTATCAGGCTCCCATTATGTTTAAGCGCTGCACGTTGAAGCGTTGGAGATTTGAGGTGGGAGAGAAGGGGCCAGGAGAAGCTGGAAGGGGGCACGTCAGGAATTCCGTCTCCTTGAAACTAACACTGCAGGTGGTAAATTATTTGAAAATTAAGCATTGCTATTTCCTAGTGGAGAGTTAATTCCCTATCACCCTGTAATGGATCATAGTATCATAATATCTGCTAATTCTGTTCACCACCAACTGGCTAACAATCTCTTTGATAAGAATCAATAAATAATAGTAACTGCACGCACACATTATGCTTGTTTTCTCTGAAGCTTTTCATATTTCAGGCGCAACCAGTTCTTGCAGAGCCAGAAATATATGTCTTCTGTTTAGCCAGCTTAAGTGACATTTTAAAAAAAACAAAAAACAACACTGTAGAGAAAGGCCGTGGCTGCAACCCTAATGCATGAGCTTCCTACCGTCCTCTCCTCGCCCCTTGCGCTGTGGGCCTGCGGCTTCGCTTCCCAATCCTAACTTGTTACTTGCTGTTTAGAAACTGGAAATGTCATTCTGCATCTTTTAGCTGAAAACTTTTCTATATCTCGTAAGTCAATTATATAAATGTATTCAATATTTAGAAATATTATTAAATTTGAATAATTTTCTTTTGGGGGGGTTAAGCCAACTGGGTCATTTATAGAGATATACCCGTGATTCAGAGTAATCAAGTGCAGGGCCCTGGGGGGGCGGGGCGACAACACTTAGTACAGCGATGGAGAAAGGGCCACTGAGAGTTGTCGTTTGAAGGGAATGAGGGACTTGCGGATGTTCTTAGCAGAGGGAGGAGCCGGTCCAGAGTCACCAGGGCAGTACTGTGCCCGGCACCTTCACCAAGCCACAGAGGCCAGTGGGCTGAAGGAGAGAGAAGCAGGGAGGACGGGTGGAGACGAAGGCTGAGAGGTCATGGAACACACGACGGGGACATTGTCCATTGACGGGCTTGAATTCTGATGGAAGGAGAGAATATTTGCAGGTTTGGGCAGAGGGAAGCCAGAGGGACTTCTGTTGTGAAGGGGCACCCTGGCTGCGTGTGGAGAAGAGACTGTGGTGAGAGGGGCAGGAATGTCGGTGAGCACTGTGAGCCCGTAGGAGAGATGGTGGCCCAGACGGACCAGGAGACAGGCGGGGCAGGTGGGAGGATGGACAGGAGGACTGGGGGCACGGACCAGGAGACAGGCGGGGCAGGTGGAGAAGAGGCCTGACCCGATGTGTTTGAAGATGGGTGGCAAGCACCAGGTTGCCTGTGGGGGGTGAGAGAACAGGAAGACTGGAGGAGGAATTTACTTCCTACTGAGCAAGTGGGAAGGTTGATTTGCTCTCAGATGAGATGGGTCAGCCCATGAGAGGCCCTTGCTC